ATTGAACGGTCTCGCGCTTGACTGGACGAGCGTGTGCGTGGACGTGGACCGCTCCGAGGATGCTATGCACTCAATTCTCGATAGGCCTATCGACCTAACGAGCCGGTTGGGGTGCCAGCAAAAGCTGGAAGCTCGATGACGCTCCAAAGTCAGGGTTAATTAGAATTAAGGACGACCTATTGTGTGTGCTATTTATAATGATGTGCTAGTCACACTAACCGGCAGTCGTTCCCGATCGAAAAAGCGTCGCCGAATGTACGGGAACGGCGGACACAGTGAAACCTTTGAATTATTTAGCCGGCCAGAAATTTACAATTGGGCTGTTTCAGCTTGTAAACGGTCTCAGCTTGTAAACGATGGTAGCAGTACGCGATGACAATTGGACTGAATCCTGTATTGTTTGCATTTGCTTTGTAAAGTGCGTTACAATTTCGAACGCGTACATTGCGTAATTTAGGTATCGTCCGCTGTCTTCGGTGTCCGTTCCTTAAGTCAGCGTGAAAGTCTGCTATGATAATAACAAACCGGCTATGTGTAAGAAAGAGGTCTTTGTGGAATTTTGAGTGCATCGATTTGATTGAAGCATTCCGGCGAAATCGCCGGAGTAACTTGGCACGGTTCCGGCGAACCTGCGAAGCAGCTAGGTTCGACGGACGCGATGTCAGGCTTTTTTTTTTCGTTTTTTTTTTGTTGACATTTGTGTGACATTTAGGAGAAAATACATGCTGGTTTGCACTCATTATCACCATCATTTGCTTTTTTTTTTCTTTGAAACTGCTAACCGCTACCCGCGAATGGTTGTTTTGAAGCGTGACATGACAAAACGAGGACGAATCACACTGATCGATTGCCTTTAGGCTAGGTGCGCAAGCTACCGCCCATAGATAACGCCTAGAGACGATGCGGTTACCACGGAGAGGCGCATGCGCAAAGTGGGGCAGTTCGTCGGGGCGCGCTGGACCAGCATTGGTCTGCACTGGACTGTATAAACACCATCGTTCGAACGCTTCTCGGCGCGGCGTAGTGGCCCACGAACGTCGGTCTGCGCCGGCGCGCGTTGCGTTCGTCGACGTTGGAGTATAAACAGCCCTCAACGCGTTTGACGAGTGCGGTGAAGACAAAGGATGCCTTTCTCTGCACTGCACTCTCCGAACCCGCTCGAATGAGAAAGCCAAACGTTGGACGCCGACGTTTCGAGTTCTAACGTGTCCGACGAAGGTAGTGGAGACAAAGCCAGGTAGCTTTAGGTCTACCCACTAATCATACCAACGACAACTAAGATTTCTGACGTCCCGCGCCCTCTCGTCTCTTCCTCTCCCTCAGTTTGTCGGCTCGTTGTGAACAATCAAAGGAGGTCGCTCTGGCCGGAGAATATCAACGAACCCTTTCGCCTCATGCAGCTAAAGTAAGAATCTGTGATTGTGAGCGCCTTCGAAATGTTCTTAAGTACACTTACAGATTCATTCATAACCCAAGTCGTATGTTGTGTCGTTTATCACGCCTTTTGCAAAGGGAATACAAAAATATATTTTCTGAAATTTTAACTATCATGCTTACAAATGAAATCAACCAGACCGATTAATCGATTAAAGGGTCGCTATTAATCGGGTTAAAACTTTTAATCGACGCCCGGCCCTAGTGACGGCTCTTATAAGTAGAATACACGAAATGATCAGAACTCCTCATATAATCAGTCTGGATCGCGATATGCTTGGTAAAAGTACCTTCTCTTCTTTCATGGACGCGGAAGTGCGGGCCTCTGCGAGGGAGGAGAGCTTGGGCTATTAAGGTCGCACATGATGATTTCCTCGTATTTGTTCAGTTCACTTGAAAACAAAAGCGTTGATACTCTTTCAATATAGTTCACGCAAAATTATTGAGGAGATTTTTTTTTTTTTAAGCATTACCGGGTAATCAACTCACTAACGCTTTTAGCGTGAGGCATCCCCTCAGAGCTCCCGGGGAAGTTATGCACGGCAGACTGTTTTGATACCAAGAAAAAGAATACACGTCGATCCTCGTTTTGAGTGCGTTCTCTTGTATACTAATATTGGAAGTGTTCTGTTTTTCGTGTAAACCTTTTTTTGGTTCGTCCGAGTTTTACTTCAGGCCTTAATTCTGACATCTCTTTATGCGCGAGTGAACATGCTCAACATCCGTGAAGGATAGCGAGCCAAAGTAAAGAGCCCAATCTCGGCTGCGATCAAATAAACAGAACATGGTCGCCGAAATGTTTTTTCTTCTTTGTATCATATCCCTCTCTGCGCACGCACGCACGCTCATGCACACACACGCACACACCGACACAAAACCTAGGGCACGTCCTGGGGTTCATTCAACACAGCATATGTTTTTAACTCCGGAAGGCACGTGAATTTTCCCCGTTAGCCCCGCCTTCCGGGAAGTACAGGTTTATGTTCACGAAATGAGAAGTGCCTCCCCACCATCAAGAAAGTAACTATTATATAGTAATTTTCACTGTGAACCGAGCAGGTGAAGCTCTACATAATACTTAATAAATGTTTTTTTTTTTTTTTTTAATTTCTGCACTTTTGACTTGAAGGCTGCGTTAAACATACTCATCGAACAAAGAGACATTTAGGCCAGATCGACGAGGATGATGCACAGTAACAAAATGCTGAAACGTTTGACCCATTATTGAGAATTTATTGGTCAGGACGGTCCTTCGTTTTATTTTTTCAGCGCTAATATTACTATATCTCATGTTTGCTTGCATAACATGTTTTGGACCAGAAGTATGTGTGCTCCTCTAGTATAAATACGGTCTGCAAGCGCAACGTCACATCGAAATAACTTTCCTTTTTCTGTGAAGCATCTGTTTCTTCTGAGCATTAAAAAATAAAAAAAAATGCTAACATGGATCTTGCAGATGTTTTCTCTTTTATATTTTCATGTCTCTTAAACGGTCATCAAAAACCTTTTTTTTTTTTTTAATTCGTGATCGCGTTTTTGTTTTTGAAATTTCGGCTCTAAAATAAACGCCAGGAGTGCCATAAAGGGGTCGCCTTGGCCCCGTCTCGAATACCGTCTTTTTTTTTTTTTTGATATTGTAAGCACTTAAACATAAAAATGTCCATCGACAAAATCTACCTGGCCGGCCACTGGATGCACCAGCCTCGTATTTCTATTGGTATTATCATGTAACACAACTTTACAAACACTGCTGGTTCAGGAAATTTGCCTCGCTAGATTATCATCCTTTAGGACAAACACAGAGCCAGGATTTTCTAAACAAGTAAGTGCCTTTAATGCTATACGAACTAGTCGATTAGTACGTAACATTGAAGAGCTTGGCGTGTGTTTGTCCATGGGTGGCCTCGGCCCTGAGAGGACCCCGGCTACTCGTTGTCGTCGCCCTGTTTAAGCTTGGGCGTTACGTTTTTGGTGGGTTGCGTCGCGTATTTTGGCCACGGGCTGCGCTGCGCGTGCCAGGCGCGCCCTCTGGCGTGTGCTGTACAGTGGTGTTATCGGGGAGCCCACAGTGGTCATTCATATTATATTTGATGGCTTTTTAATACCTCAGTTATCACTAGTTAACAGGTCATTTGTGTTTAATATTGCCACGCACGTCGGCGAGCGAGCGCGTGTGTGGCCGAGCGGTTATCGCGCTTGACTTTCGTGCGGAGATTCAGAATTTTATCCCTGGGAGCGACGCTTTTTAGAGCGCAGCTCTTAGGCGCCCGTTTCCGGCTTGAGCGGCGTTGGCGTCGGCGTAACCAAGGTCACCCCAAAGTCACGTGACCCCCCAGGTCATGTGACCCCTCCCAAGGTCACCTCAAGGTCATGTGACCCCCGAAGGTGAACCCCACATGACCCCCCAAGGTCACATGACCCCCCCCCCCCAAGGTCACGTGACCCCCGAAGTCCCGTGGCCCCCTCCCCGAGGTCACGTGACCCCCCCTCCCACCCCGAAGTCACGTGACATCCCCTCGAGGTCACGTGACCCCCTCCTCCCGAGGTCAGGTGACCCCCCGAAGCATATTAAAGAATGAGGGGAGGAGGAGGAGGAGGAGGAGGGGTCTACCCTCCCATCAGTACCCTTCCCTCCTTCTCCTCAAGAGCTGCGCTCTGATTCGGCGTTACAGGGAGTGGTAAACGGCTTTCACTTTTTTTTTTTTTTGTATCCTTTTAATTTAGATTTCAAGTAATTTCAAGAGCCCTGTTGCATGTTCGAAGTCCGGATGCTCTACTCACCGAACCTTCTAGCCGATTGTTCTAGAATCTTACGCGTGCACATAAGGGGGCTACGAGTGGCGAGCCGGAGTGAATTTTCGCCCCAGTGCTCGATCCTGCTGTTTCGCCGACATCGACGCCTGCGACGGTAACGTTCGTCTATTTTATTTTGGGCGCAAGTTTGCCCCATTAAACGTCAGGTTTCTCCAGTTAACTCACCGCCTCATCTTTTGTCATTCGTAGCAATATTAGCTAGTCGAGAGCCCAGTATTTCCCGACATTTCTGGCGTAGTTCAATTTCGTCTTCATAATTTTCCAATAATGAACAGTGTCATGCTTAAGCTCTGTAGTTAATATTTCTTTACACACCAGTATTGCTGGAGCTGATTTAATTAGTGTATATTTGGCAATAAGAACACTAATCTTTTTTTCATAAGGCGGCAGTCTTGAAAATTTGAGCGATGTATTATATTGATCAGGAGTACGTTGCTTTTTGAGTGAGCTGCAGGTGAAGTGTACAATATCGTTAGTAAACTTACGCACATTAGTCATGCGTTGAGAAAAATGTCAAACCATATCCCTTGAATTTATAGACCTGCTAAAAGGACTCTTGAGCCCATCTATGCTTTTGTTACACAACAATTTGAGAATAGTGTAAAAAAACAATACTTTAAAGTGACTGTAAAATTTAAGCTTGTTAAATTCAGAACGATTCGTATACTAGAAATAATACTTTGCATTTAACAAACGCATTGCATATATTTCTCGCTGACATATAACTTTGTATGCGTGTGTTTGTGTTTTAGGGAAATTATGGACTGCGCCAGAATTGCTGCGCGCCCAGGAGCCGCCAGTTAACGGCACACAGAAGGGTGATGTGTATTCTTTCGCCATTATTTCTCACGAGATCGCCGTTCGTCAAGGCGCTTTTTACCTGGGCAACATCGACATGAGTCCAAAAGGTAAGTTCACAAGCGTGACGTACCGATGTCTAGACTGAAGGAACCATGCTCAATGGATTGTATCGAAATTTAGATTGCGTGAAGCTAGTGTGATTAACAATAAGACGAATCAATGTCTATCTCCATTGTAGAGGAGCCTTGTGGATATCGCCAGGATGGTCCTAACGACGAAATATTCAGCCAATACTGTAGGTGCGCTCTATTTAATCCAGTAATTCTGGGTGACCATATTAACAATTTGTTGAATGAAAGGTGGGCAAGAGGGAGGGAGGACGTAAAATGAACAAAAGGCGCCTTTTAGAGTTCAAATTTTATATGAAACCATCATATTTCAAATAACCAGTAAATTCAGGGCTGCAAGATATGTTAAGGAATTTGGGAAAACAATAATAAAACACAGATTGTTTGTTCGTGGCAAACGATGGGACAGGGAGGTTAATAGCTCATAATAAATTTGACACTAGTATTTTCAAGCCGTGTCGAGATAGTGCGCGAATGCCCGCCAACTAAAAAGGGCCCATTCTGTGCTACCGAGGCTAAATAAGTTTAGAAAAAACAAAACGACGTATTCAGCTCGCTGGCGTTCGCTCTTCATGTGGCGTCTCAACAGTGACTAGCACAGCGTGCGGGTGGCCGTGAAGCCGGGTGAAGTTTTTTGGTTGTTCGCCGCGTATCCGCTCCACAGACTCATGCCTTTCGTGATTTTGGAAATTAAAGTAGGCAATAAAAAAAAATAGAAAAATGCCTGTAATTTAACACTAACAAAATATTTAGAAACACCGCCGTGAGTATAAAGGTGAAGTAATGACGTGAATTGTCATATTCATAACGGTACACTATTCCTTTGCTGTACATGTATGCGGATTTCGTCTGGTCAGACAGTCCACGACTGAAGACGTCGTTCATAAAAGAAAAGATGGCATAGCCAAGAAACTAAAGCACACTATTCTATGTATGAACATTGATTGTATAAATTTATAAAATATATTATTTACATTTATTGCATTTCGACACCGAGTAAAAAATTGGTCTCAAAAGTTAACTTCTTTTTCTTGGTGGTATGTAGTTGTCTACTCAATATTTCAGGTCCACTATCGTAAAAGTTTGAAATAATTTCAAACTCTACTCATTCAGATTTCGATAAATAGCTTCTATTTAATGTTGTGGGCTTCCGTGTGCGCATTAAATTGTATGATTCCCTCACAAACGATTGTAGAATAGGAGCATTAGAGCTTCAAAAATGATTTTTATAATGCATGTTTGATTTTTTTTTTTGTTAACCATAAAATTAAACGTTATGTAGGAAAGCTTAACCTCAATGCGGTACTTTTGTTGTGTTGAAAACTGTAATACGCAACCGAATTATTTTGTAATCTCAAATCAGTAGAGCTAAGAGTATATTCACAAGTATATCAGTGTTTGTGCATGTACTGTTAGCGCATTCATCTTGCCTTGCAAATGTATAAAATAGGCATCTGTAACACAATGAGTTGAAGACAAATGAAATAAGTTCCTTCATATCTTGATCACTACAAACTGTGAACCCCTCCCTGAATAAAGCAAAATCAGGTAAATTCTTCAGAGGAATGCGTGAAAAGTCTTGAGATTAAAAAAATACATTCCACGCTGTACAAATATATTAATATTAAGGTACAAAAGACGTGCACTCGCTAAAAATATCTTCCTCAAAAGACGTTGAAATATTGCGCCCGCTTTGATCATCTCACGAGCAAGCATATGGTTAGATGAAAAGCAAGGCGCTCTTCAACCATGTAATGCCTGACTTTAGAACACAATATAAGACAATAAAATAGAGCACAGCAAAACACAGCACAACACAACAAAATACAACAGAATACAACACAATAACATACAATAGAATACGAATCAATTCAATAGAATACAATACAATTCTCAACACCATACAATAATCTACAATAATATAGAATACAATAAATCTGTATCCTAACCTTATACGAAAATAAACGAAATCCGGGCAGACAAGACTAAGAAGACAGGCGCAATCTTCATGTTTTTTTTTTTTTTTTCAACTCTGCATCAAGGAATAAAGCACAAATCTTGTTGGAACGCCGTCTACCTTACGCCATATGCTCACTTATGTTCTGAGTAAACGTTCCCACAACGGGGTGGCGCAAGATCGCTGTCGTGACCTAAGGAATTTTCAGGTCGTGTGACTTATTCCTGGGGGCATGCGGAAAGATCATCGCAAGTAATCTGACAGATACAAGGGTCACAGCCATCTTCCGATATGTGGACGATTTTTTAGTACTTTGTGACACAGAAGGTGACGACCAAAGTGAAGAATGCAAGGATACTATTCTGCAAGTGTTTCAAGAAAGTTGCCCCGAATTGGTGTTCACACATGAATCACCTGTGGACAAAAATATCAAATTCCTAGACCTCGCGCTAATTTTCCAACAAGGGCACGTTTGCTGGAGGTACGAACCCCGGTCAGCAAAAGGGTTTCTGCCGTTTACCTCTGGCCACTCAAGAACTATTAAGAGAGGTATCGCCAGCACGGCGTTAGTTTCTGCCTTAAACAAATCATGTAAACACCAGATAGGGCAGAGCTTTGAAAAACAGATGTCACGATTACGGAATTCAGGATACCCAACAAGTATCTTGGTACCCGTTTGTGAGACCATCTGCAGAAACTTGAAGAGTGCAAAGTCGGGCAAAAAAGTAAACGAGGAAACCCGAAGGAAGATCGCTGTGCTACCATACGTTCACGGGATTACGCACAAATTGAAAAAGATCGCCGCGAGGAATGAGATCCAAGTAGAATGCTCCGCGTCTAACAAAGCGTACTCCATGTGCAGACGAGTTAACAACAGAACAGGCAAAGAAAAAACGTGCGACATTGCCCACAGAACACAATATGTACCATGCATGACAGGAGTGGTTTACAACAATCCCCTTTCATGCGGGAAGTGCTACATCGGCCAGACGGGCCGATGCATTAACGACAGAGCCCGCGAGCACGCAGCATCCCTTAAAGGAACGTCGGCAGGGCACCTTGCAGCTCATTGCAGGACTTGCCACTGCAGTGCAGCGTTCAAGGACATAACCATCCTAGCCAGTAATAACAATACTCATGCGCGCGAGATGCTCGAAGCGCTTGCTATCGAAGAACAAGCGAGTGGGTGCGTCAGCACCCCGTCCATCACTATTCACAAAAAGGAGAGACAATATCTACGGTGCGTCACGGTCCAGAAAATGGCAGTATGAGCTTGCGGCGGGTGAATTTAAAATATTAGTTTAGGTTTAGGTAATGTGAAAATTTTGTAAACACACACATGCATTATTATATTAGTATAATAGGTTTTAATATGTAATAATTTTTGTTGGTGTCTGAAAACACGCAAGGAAAAAGAAGTTCCCACTAAATAATCGTTGGTAGTCAGCTGTCTATTCTCTCCTGTCTCAATTTCTCTATATATTCCCCTGGTTCAAGCTGTCAAATATATATACAAAATTATAAACCAAGTTCTTCTTGGAACTGCGTAGTAGGCTGGTTGAACAAAATTCATCACACCGAGTGCATCTCCGAGCTTTGGGACATGTGTGTCATGAATAAGCCGAGGTAATTTTACTGGAATTTTTTATTAATTAAGCGAGGTTTTTAATAATTTATTTTTTCAAGTGAAAGATCTGTGCCTCCTATTCCAGACCTTGATTATACTCGAACAAATCACTTGCGTCCTGTAATTAAGAATGAACTTTCATAATAGATAAAAACCATATTCTATCAACCCAGCTAGCTTAAGAGACCCTTATATTTATAAACAAAATATTTTTGTGTTGTGGGTTTTCTTATCTTAGACGGCAGGATTGTTTGCAATACGCTAAAAATACGCGAATATTGATGCCATGAGATTATAAATCTTCGTATTCTACCATGCCTATTTGATGATGATGTTCTTCTCAAAATTGGGTGTACAGTGCGTCGTCTCTTTGAATGAAACGGGAACGTGCCATAAGTGAAAGATAAGCAGTGATCTTGATCTAAACTTCCGGCCAGTATTCCGGCTATTCCTATTTGAGGAAGAAGGACCGTACTGGTGCATGTAGTTCGAATAATTTCCTGCAAACACGTCCCATTTTAGCGATTGCCAATGCTGGTCATTCCCATTCTTGCTGTCTTGTGATGTTCCTTCTTTGCATCTGTTTAATCACATTTCAAGGAGCTGGTATTGGTTTCAACGACGAAACTCGTAAAACTAACGTCATCCATGACTTCGAAGGCGGACACTAGCACACCCGTAGTGTAATCGTACGTCTTCCAGTTTCGCTCGTGTCTTCTTTCCAGAGGTCGTGGAGCAGGTTATGTCCGAGTCGAAGCCCCTGTTCAGGCCAGTCTTCGACGAGATGGACTGCCCCGACGAGGTCCGACTCCTGATTACCAAGTGCTGGGCTGGAGATCCCGCCGAAAGGCCCGACTTCCAGACACTCAAGTCCCTTATAAGGAAGCTCAACAAGTGAGTCTCATAAATTAAAAAAAAAATTAAATGGAAACGTTATAACCGCACAATCTTTCTTGCGAAACGTTGAAAGTTATACGCCTGGTTTTGATAGCGAACTGTACAACACAACGAAAAATATTTTTTTTATCTTTATTCCTATCAAGCTATGAATCTGGCGCATAACATATGTGTTCAGATATATTATTTTTTACATATAAAAATATAATTGCAAATGTTACAGCCCTTTTCCCACACGCACTACCTATGTCGACGCCGGAAATAGCTCTTACCTTGCTTATGCAGCGCTTATTTTTCGCAATATTAGTGATACAGTGTTGACACAGCGCTGCATAGGTGCTAAGGTGACATGTGCACGTTACTTAAAAAGTAACTAAATACCATCACTCGTAACTAGCTGAAAAAGTAACTCAATACGTTATTCGTTACCGATTTTCAAAAGGAAGGCGTTACGTTACCTCAGGAGTAACGAGCTATTTTTCTCGTTACTTTGACGGTCAAATACACAACTGATTTTGTATTATGGTTTATTGTTTTCTTTTCAATAGTTGTTGCACTAAAGGAGTATCTTCCTCTCAAAGTTTTCATTGGTTATGTTTTCCCGCTTCCTTCAGAATACATCTCGGGCGAGTCTGAAGAGTCATTCTACTGGCGCGTTCGAAGGGACGGCAGTGTTGTTGTGCGTAAAACTTTAGAAGCAGAGAGGGAAGAGAAAAGGGTGGAGTCTGGGATTTTCCTTTTTTTTCTTGCTTTTTCTCTCTGCTTCTAAAGTTTTAAGTTAACAATGGGATTGTACCTTCCCGTGTTGCCAACCTCCGGATTTATATTCGGTCTGTACACGATTTTAGAAAGGTTCAGCCACCATATACCTGATTGTGTTCGCTGAGTGAAGGACATTCCCAGCTTTAGAGTTCGACTGGCGTGTTGAGCGATAAAAAATGCTGTACTGTCATACTGTTAACATTTTTTTTTTGTTGGGGGGGGGGGTTACTTATTTTCTTTTCTCGTAATAGATGCATACTATGTTAGTTAAACGAGGTTGTTTAAACGGTGTTGTTCACGTTACTCCATAAAAGTAACAAAATATCGCTACTCGTTATTTGACCTTAGGAGTAACTAAGTACGTTACTCGTTAATTTTCTAAAAAAAGTAGCTGCAGACGTTACCCGCCGCTACCCCAAAAAGTAATTTGGCAGAAGGAACTCGTTACTAGTACCGCGTTACCTACATGTCTGGTGCTAAATTATGTTGAAACCAGTACTGCATCAGCGCGGTCTCTGTTGTTGACTTGGCTCTGAAGTGCATATGTGAACTGGTGTTAACAGTACTAATGCATTGCTTCAATAATAACAAATGAACGAAAAATTATCGCAGTTTCTGAAATAATTTTAATGCGTAACTGGAAAAATTAATTTACCCTCGAGTCTGGTGGACCTGATAAAATTGAATTCCGTCCATCAGAGAATCCGAGAGTGGCAACATCCTGGACAACCTTCTGTCTCGGATGGAACAGTACGCCAACAACTTGGAGTCTCTGGTCGAGGAGCGAACATCTGACTACCTCGAGGAGAAACGCAAAGCTGAGGATCTCCTTTATCAACTTCTTCCCAGGTAAGCGATAATTTCAAGATGTGAAGTCATGCTATAATATGCAATAATGAAAATGCTGTGATGGACCCAGAATCGTATAACGTGCTTTAGTTTCCCTTCATTAACATTTTATTTTGTGTGAAAAGCAGAAATTATTTTCTCTGTAGGGAGATTTCTATAAAATCGTTTCCTTTAACAGTAACATGAACGGTATAAATTGTTTACCATTTTTGATGAATAACCCGAGGCTGGAGTGACAAAACTAGAAACATCAACCGCGTAAGAGGTAGAAAAATGTGACGGGATGACGAAGTCTCAAATTCAGCTATTCAGTAAACTACTCTAGTACACATTCTAACCTCAAGGTCGCCACCCTTTCCACAAAATAGATCAGAACATTCACTCAGCTCAAACCCACAACACTTCGGCCATGCCACTTGACCTTCCTTCTCTGAACAAATGCAGTTAGCGCACGTCGTCCTGTAACCTCAATTTGATGCTTACAAAGACGAAACTGGTACGCTCTACGCGAAGCAGATGTGTCATTGACTTTAATTTTGACACTTCCCTCTAAAACAACCCACAAAAAACACTTACACATCTAAATTTGCAGGGAGGCTTTGGAAGCGTCACTGAGTTGCTAGGATGCTTGGCTTATAAAATTGCCTAAGGTTTCTACTCTAATGGTTTCTCTTACCACTAATTTCATGTCATTGCCTTTCCTGTGGAGTCAGAAAGAGTAGTAAAGAACAAAAACAAATCACCTCCTGGTACTGGATTTTAATTTGTACGGCGGTCTTAATTCGGACTGACGACGAGCCAGTGACAAAAAAAGTCGACAGATTGGAGGTCAAAATGACACCAGTAGATACCGCCGGGGTGACTCCACATGAAAGAAAAATGAAGCATAGGTTTATGCGGCCCATATACGTTTCCGGTTGTATTTATTGAGTCTTCTGGTCGACAGAGCGAGTCGTCGTGCGTGTGCGTTTCGCCAACAACAAAAACTACACTCATAGCTGCGCATCTGCAAGAAAACTAATTGGGGAAAGTTGTGTACGCTGTTCATCATCATGGTGGAACGCGGATTAGCGGAAGTTAAAGAGTTTAATGGAACCGCTCTTATCTGTAGGGAAGTTAAGTTCTCTAGAGGCCGTCATATCAAACCATGGGGAAAAAAGCATTGAAAGCTGCGGCTCAAAGGGAGAGCAGTGTGGCGCGCCTTCCCTTTCAATTCGTGGCCCTTAGAAAGCGCGACGCTGTTGGATTGGTTCACGATAACCAACAACCCGCTCTGGAGGCTGACGTCGCCCCCGAGTTGGAGTTCGCACCTTTTGTCTGTTGGTTTCGGTGTGCCAGTCACGTCAGGGATTACGATTGCAGTAGTAGAGTGCGCAGAAGAAGGTTTAGTCGTCTGAATTTTAACAACGGCTATATTTTTACGTCAATAGTATTTGCAGAAACGACCGGCAACAGATTTCTGATTAAAATGTGTTAACGATGGAGATTATTTAAAACAAGAATGAGTAAATTTTAGTAAATTAATTCGATAGTTCTCACTTTACACTCATAACCCATGCACATCTTCGGTCGCTATCGGCATCCTGAAGAAATCACTTTGTTATTTCAAATACCTTTAAAAAGAGTGCCATTGATGAAACACCTTAAATGATATCTTCAAGGTGCGTCAGATTTTCGTCCTCGTGAAGTTTACTTTTCTCCCCTGAAAATGAAACCCACGATGTGTTCATAAACCACACAAAATTATCGAAATCCGCCACGTCGATATATCGCATTTATGAAGTTGTACTCAAATTGCCAGAAAAGGGTTACAAAAAATGCGTCCTTTTTATAGCGGCGTGGTTTATCTAAGAAAAAGTGCCGCAATCAAAATCACAAATTGATGGGTTCAAATCCCAGCCGAAATTCGCTTAATCTAGTGCAGGCTATATGTGACGATGGTGACGTGTAACTGAGATACAAGCAGAACGTTGAAGACGAAGAAAAAATCTAGATTTATGTTCCGCCCCTCACCGGGACTGTCAAAAACATGTTTGATCATTATTCCAGATTTTTTAAATTTTGTTTTATTCAACTTGAAAAATATAAGAACCACAGCTTAAAATCTTTCTTAGCACCTTCATTTAGAAAACAAACAGCGTTAATAAATATCAAATAGCTTTTAGCATGAACCACAAATTAAAACTGAAGACAACATAGACACGTTTTATGCTCCAAAGCATAAAACATAAAACATAAAAAGACATCACATTTTGGAAACAGCACTTTCTGAACAGTGCCGTAGTGGGTATCACAGTAAACCAATGAAGCCACCGCAGTTTCGTGCCAGACCAAATTGTTTCCGCTCGATGTGTAAAACTGCTAGATCGAATTCGAAAATTTAAATTTAACAAATAACTGGCAAGCCAAAATATGGAAAAGAAAATTGTGTTCGCTACTTTCGCTTCCGAGAGATGGCGCAAACAGCGCGACCGGAAGGGTTTACGGCGTATCTTTTTCCCCGCGTGGTTTAAACCCTGAAGTAGCTTGAAGCACGGAAGCTTTCCAATCAAGCTTTTTGTTAAACAATGACAGCGAGCATGCAAAACGCTGAGAAAGACAAACTTAGTTCAGCCCAAACCAAGGAAAATACCTAACAGAAACATACACAAAAGAAGTGCGGCTTCACGAAATTACGTTTCCTGAAGGGGCGGAATTTTGAAAAGCCGCAATCAATTGCTCTGATCCGGTGAAGCGTAACGACGTTATAAATTTTATATTGGAATAACACGGGCGGTCTGTCCCAATTTGTATTTCGTTGTGCAAAGGAACCTGGGATGAAAAGGGAAAGCGGCGGAACCAACCCTTGGGTGCTTCTTTAAACGTAATGCAGAATGGCAGCTTCACTCCGTCTTTCTTTTCATACTGTTTATTTCCCTGCATGCTTTGTTTTTTGCTTCCATGGTAAATGAAGACGACTAGGCTAGCTCGAGGAGTTTTGTTCGTTAGCTTCCGACTTTGGATGGGTGTGTGTACAGAATAAATAGTTCTCAGTCGTTCTTATGTTTCTATAATTATCACTTTTCTCCTAGAAACACCACGTGGTTGGTTTTGACGTAAAACGTAATATTTCTTGTGGTGCGTTGCAGGGTCGTAAAAGTAAAAAAATGTACCTAAGATACAATTACAGTTACTCATACGAAGAGGTACCTAGGTGCGTACCTAGGTACTCGCTTAAAAATATACCTAGGTACAGGTACAATTACTTCAAAGATACTTTCCCTATTCATTTTCCCCAAATTTGTCAAAACATAGTGAAAATAAAGCTTTTCATACTGGGATACACACAAAAACGAGTTCGATAAATGTGCTTTATTGGTGTCAATTCGATAAATAAGGAAAACCGTATTGACATATTGACATGAGCATTTCAGGACACGTTATCTTTGCTCTATTTGACTTTAGAACCAGGACCTCCTCGAAGTGTTCATCTGAAATCTCCGATCGCAGTTTAGTAGCAATTGTTCCTCCTACGCTAAAAACGTGCTCCACCACCGCGCTGCTTAGAAGCCCAGTGTTGAATTTTAAGAACACGCTTTTCAACAGCGGCATGTGCTTGAGACACTCCAGACTTCTTGTCTGAGCAAGTTCGGTGTACTGTACGAATTCCTGCTCCCATGAAGCAGATCAGGACGATGTTTCGCAGCTAAAGAATTGCTTGCAGTCTTCGTCGTCACTACTTCGTTCGCCTGACAGGGCTTTTTCTACAGTTGATGTTTTCATAAGTTCGTTCTTTAGGTAATCCCCGGCCCGCTTCCGTTCCGCTTCGTTGTTCATCCACGCTACCTTAAATTTTGAATTTAAAACTGCAGATATTATCAAATGTTTTTGTTCTTTTATATATGCAAACCTCTTATTGATTGGCGCGATTAAGCTATTGACCACCGGGCGGCAGTACCTGAAGTCCTCCGTCAGTAATGCGGACATGCTGAACGGCATCCGTAATCCACCATTCGCTTGAATGAACACCGCCATTCGCTACAAATGTCGTTTCATAAAACATGATGGGTGCGGCTTCGTTCACTAAATCGTGATTCGATCACGTCAGTGCCTCCCAGGTCGTACCCAACTCAACGTTAATCACGACACATGGAAGTGTGTTAATACTTCAAGATCTATAGTTTCTACAATTTTGACGGAGTGAATAGAAAAGCACCTGTAAAAAGTAACTTCACTTAGTTACAAGTTGCTGGAAAATGTACCTAAGATGCAGATACACACAGATACCGAGAAATGAAAGTACCTATACTCCGCGACAACTTTTCTTGGCAATGCAGTGGAAGGTACAGGCCCGCGTCCCCTCTCCCATTTTGAGTGTGCGCGGGCTCTCCTCCTCTCCCCGGAAATGGGGGAGGAGGAGAGCCTGCGTACGCTCAAAATGGGAGAGGGGACGCGGGCCTGTACCTTCCACTGCATTGCCAAGAAAAGTTGTCGCGGAGTATAGGTTTGTATCTATAGTACAACGAAAGTACCTAGATACCGATGTCCAGTTACTTGTACCTTGGTACTTTACAACCCTGTTGCTTTGCAATTGCAGCAACCTTTCTGGGCCTGAAGGGCCTGCTCACTTGTAGATTTGTTGGGCCACCAAACCAAAAATGTTTTAATGGGCCATTCATATACCTTTTTTTCTCGAGCAATACCCTCAATTCTCGTGAAAAGGGACTGTGGGGTTGCATTCTCGCAGAGCACGGGGACAGCGATTGACTGCAATGGGGACAAAAATGGTAGTAATTTACGGGACAGAAATAACGTCTTCACGCGAAATTGTTGTCTGCTCAAGTCGCATTTTTACAAAAAATTGCGTTCTCGACCTTGTAATTCACTGATTTTATTTTTATGTAGAAATCGATGATTGACTGTATGTGTGCTCTGCAGAAAAGCAGGTGAATGGGCCGTATTCCTAAGAAGTGCGGTTATTACTCGAGCAAATACGGTAATATGGGCCTACATGAGATCATGTAGGCCCATATTACATGAGATCACGTGGCTGACGATATGTGCGTTTTATCTGCACTAGGAGTGGGTAGACGCAAATTTGTTTCCCACGCGTTATCAACATGAACCCTCAAGTGCAAAAAGAGGACAGTTTGACCATGTATGATGTGAAATCTACCTGATAATAAGCAGGCAAATCGCACGTTTATAGAATGCTGGCACATTCCAGATTGCTCCAGCATTTTTAAGCGTGGGCCATTAAAGATACGTGTCTTTAATATCTCTGCTAACATGTTTCCACACCCTCAGATACTGACTTCTACTTAGTTGTTTGTAATTAGCCTGAGTCTTCTTTGTGTGCAAACATAAAACTCAAAGGCCAACCACGATTTGCAGACACGTTCGAGCTACGTAAAATGAGGTCATCGCGAAGTGTTTTTATGGCCTGTCTAATTGGGACCACCTTCGGTTGAGCTTGCAAAGTTGAAGCTTGCCTCTCACGTAAGGCCTAAGAACAACACGCATTATGCACTGCTTGAGATAAGTGGCAACAAATGTGTATAAAACTCAGACCAGTTTCTTTTATATAAGAATGATATATCCCGATCCAAAAGTCCATGAGACTTTTGTGAGTGTTCATCAAACTTTCTTGATGGCTCATCAAACGTTCTTGATTGTCCACCACACGACCTTGACGGCCATCAGACTCTTCTCATCAGATTCCCATCAAATCTTATTTGATATCCCATCAGATTTTCTTGGTTGCCCATCATACCTCTTAAATGTTCAGACACTTTCTTGACGATGTCTGCGGGACCATAAGACATTTTTTTATGGCGGCTTACGGATCGTTAAATGCTGAAAGTGGCCGAGAAAATACCAACATGGTGTTGCTGGTAGCTCATAGACAGTCAAAACACTTCTGGTGACGGCCGATGGACCATCAAAACGTTTTGATGTCGACGAGTGAGACCACCAGGATATCTCAATAGACTATCATAATTTGAAGAAGTATGATGTTTCTCATGGCATCTTTCGGCGGTGGATAGAACTTGGCCATATTCGGGACTTCAAGCAGAGGTTAAGACGTGGCGCAAGGATCTTTCGTCGTAGCACATCTGAGGAATACTTCCAATGTGGAAAGCTAACAGTACTGTGTTTAAATGAAATAACGTTAATTTTGTCATAAACCGCCTCTAACATCGTCCTAGGGTACTCAGAATGACCCAGGTATGAATTTGCCAGCATTGTTTCGTTATAAATTGTGCCCTGGTTCGTCATCGAAATGATTTGTTGATATATATAGCATTTTTACGATTTAAGTGTCAGAGACCGTGTCGAAGAAAGCGCTCCGCTTGACCGGAAATTCTGTGTGGACAGCCAAGCAACAGACGTCTCTGAAACAGAACGTTGTGGAGTCTCAAAAGTAGCAAGTTGATTAGATGCATTTTCTCTTCCGTTTGTGTTTAGCAGTTTAATCATTCAATGTTCAATCATTTGTAAATGTAAATAATATGCCGTTATAAAAGTCCCAATACAGATTCAGCTTCAGAGTTTTCGTAAAACTTCCTAACGCTTCGGAGGTTTTTGTTGCCAGACACTAAACACACACAAAAAAGTTTATTTGTGTGAGATTAATCGTTTATCTTTTGACAGTCCGTGCATGGTTAGAGATTCACACCTACCATTCGACCAACAGCCCGTCAAACCATCGGGCCGTCACACATCCCAAAACGCCGACAAATCATCAAACCATCACAATATCAAACCACGAGGCTATAAAGCCATCAAACCATCACGCCGTTAATTGCCCAAAATACGACAGACGATCAGCCTGATGAATTATTATAGCAGTTTTATGGTCCATATGGGTAAGAATGTTTGGTCGCGTTATACTGCCGAAGCAGTTTGAACTGCTTCGATTTTTTATTTTATTTCAGCGGCAAAAATGTTGCTCAAATTTGTTTTACACCAATTCTACACAAATCGTCATCGCACCCGAAAATGGCATTCGTTCGTTTTGCTCTTTTTTTTCCCGCAGATCTGTAGCGAGTCAGTTAATCAAGGGCCAATCAGTACGAGCGGAATCGTACGACATCGTCACCATATACTTCAGTGACATCGTCGGCTTCACATCACTTTCCGCACAAAGTACTCCTATGCAGGTAAGATGCTACTGTGTCAAGAATTTCAGCCTGGCTTTAAAAATTTATATTAAGAATGTTGAACTTTGCTTTGAGAAGCGAGGAATCAAATATTGTTTTAAGCTAATCGTTTTATATGTGATTGATTCCACCGCGGCACGAGAAACGCAGTCACTGCTCGCGCAACACTGTGGGGATATCTTTAGAAAACACGATTTTTTCATTAAAAAAAATACGAAATTCAGACGACACTGAATACGCCTGTTCGATTTTCCTAAAACCCATGCTTAAAAAAAAATCACGTTTTACAGAAGTGTCTGACGGAATAACGTTTTATACCTCTTTCTCATACATCTGTTTCAATCCTCGCCACGTTCTTCTTTTTGTATTGACTTAACACAGGAAAATGCCCATGATGTCGTTCTGCTGCGGTAATTGTAGTAGCCTACCACAAAGATATTTTTAATAATATCGAAAGTTCACTCTGCTCACAGCCGACATTCGCTCGCGAAAGATTTGGGAGAGGGAATCGGTTGCCACTGAGCAAGCACATTCCATATTCTCGGAACGACAGAAAATACGGAGTTGCCTAGGGTGCTAGCAATGCCATCCGCCAGTGGCTCTCTCGGCAACGCGCTCGATGGGGTCTTTTGTATTGTTAAAGACTGTACTACTTGCAGTTCTTTGTTATGACGACAAACTGTATTTTATATTCATGACTTATGTACCTACAAGACAAAATTGCATTATGCGACCATATTGAAAAAAAAAACTTCCTAAAGTAAAACATGCGCTTCAGCAGACATTCTTTAGGAGTGAAGGGTACAAAAGGGGCACCTGTTCTCGGGGGCGGGGGGGGGGGGGGGGGGGGTTCACGTGACGTCGGGGGGGCTACGTGACCTGGGGGAGGGGTTACGTGATCTTGGGGGGTCACGTGACCCCCCCCCCCCACGAGGTCACTGGACCTTGGTGTGGTAACGTGAGCTCCGGGTAGGCGGGTCCACGTGGGGGGTCACGTCACCCCCACGTGACCTCGGGGGAACGGGGGTCACGGGACCCCCAGAGAAATTGTTCCGGTAGATATAGCAGGGAAATTTTTCCGCTAAATCTAGTGGGGTAATTTTTCCGCTAGATTTATCGGGGAAATTTTTCCGCTATATTTAGGGGGGAAATTTTTCCGCTAGATTTAGTGGGAAAAGTTTTCCGCTAAAGTTAGAGGGGAAATTTTTTTGCTAGATTTAGCGGAGAAATTTTTCCGCTAGATTGAACGGGGAAACTTTTCCGCTAGATTTAGCGGGGAAATTTTTCCGCTAGATTGAACGGGGAAACTTTTCCGCTAGATTTAGCGGGGGAATTTTTCCGCTAGATCTAGTGGGGAAATTTTTCGGCAAGATTTAGCGGGGAAATTTTTCCGCTAGATTTAGTGGGGGCATTTTTCCGCTAAATTTAGTAGGGAAATTTTTGCGCTTTCCGCCTAGAACGGCGACGCCGCTCTAGCCGGAAACGGGCGCCTTAATGCTGCGCTCTAAAAGAAGGACACCCAACACCTTTCAATGGCAGTCGCTACGAACTGCACTCTTCCAACCTTCCACCATTTGGGAATAAATTTGTTTTTGTATGCTTGAGTCTCTATTCCGGAATACTTTTTACCGTTTTGCAGAAGTATCTCAGGGATATCCCGTTACATAAAAGACAAATGCATCTCAGTATCTGTAGTTGGACCTTAAATACATCCCAATATTTGTATTCCGGAATACTTTTTGGAGTATTTCTGCCAAGTCATAGGGCTATATGCATGAATCAAGGTGCGAGGCGTTCAGTATTGTAGAATTAATCCCCAGCGTAAGCAAGTTTTACAAGGTGCAATTTGGCGCTGCGATTGTTTCAACGCGGCAAAAAGCCCGCAGACACAGTACGCTTTTTAGCTGGCGTCCACGGAATTCATCTCTTGCTGCACGAGCGCCGTTGAAATTGCGGAACGACTAAAATTGCTGCGATTAGTTAATAATGTCTCCTTGTGAAATGGGCTTAAAGAAGTGATGTAATGGTGTTTGTATTTTGCGCAAATACCGCTTAGAACGGGTCCCTTACGTTAATGACTTGTAGAACGCACGTTCGTTTTTCACCACACGCAATCGAAGTCGCAGAAAAAATTAAGAAAAGACGAGCAGCGTCCACCAACTCACCTCGCAGCCAGAACAAGTGGCCACATTATCTTGAGCAGATAAAATGTCGCCAAGGCTGATCATAGCCACGCGCTGGGGTTGGCAAGGCACAGACACGCGCTCAGTTCCAGACATTGTAATGGCTCGGCTATTGCCGTCGTTGCAGCGATTGGACACGGGCCGCTACCCGAATGCTTCTCGAGTTATCGATTATCACGAGCCCAAATCGAGTGCCCACGCAAGTTTCGGGTCCAATTTATGAGCCCCATTAAAATATCGTCAATGGGCGGTATTGCGACCGTACAGCTAAGTCATCAAGTTTTGGGAAGGAGATATTGAATGAAAACTCTCGTTTTTGTACTTGAAATTGCACTGCAACAAAGCAGTCTCTTGGCGAGTGGCATTGCGTGCGAGTATCCTAAAGTCACACTGGTGCCACTAAGCTCGTGTAAAGTGAAAAACACTAATTGAATATTGTTGCACCGCCCCTTTCAAGCGAATATTAAAATAAGTTATTTTCTAAATTTCATATCAATAGTCTGCGGAATATTAGGTTGCACATGTAACCTGACGTGTTCTTGAGTCAATAGTCAATAGGTAAAAAATATACCTTTTTCTTCAATTAAAACTTCCCATTCTCAATTATTTTCAAGCGTATACGGTTATGGAACAAGCCAATGTGTTTGCTCAATACTTCACTTAAGGTGTGTTTTTGACTAACATTTGTGCAAATTAATTTGCTTGTGTTCTTCTAACCTTAGGTGGTGGATTTGCTCAACGATCTCTACACCTGCTTCGATTCTGTAATTGAGAACTTCGACGTATACAAGGTGAGCCAAACATTCCCTTAGAAGTAATCCTGGATTGGTAAATTGTAACTTTTTTTGGACTATCGTAGAGCCGCTTAACGGAATCAAAATCTCGTTCTATAACTAATTAGTGTATCGTAAATACCAACATTAATAGTCTTCACGTGGTTCAGATGAGTTTCAATACATATAACTAAATGAAAAGTAGAATGTTATGTGCCTAATATTCACCTTTGGGTTTACACAACTGCACTGAAATAATATCGCATTGTAGTTGCTCATGGACAGCTATATTGAGAGTGCACTCAAGTCAAAGCATGAACTATCTATCATGATGTTGAGTGAGTGAGTAGTGTTATAAGCAACCAAACAAGCATCAAAAACAGAAAATTGGAGTATCGATAGCTATATGCTGCCAGAGTTGCCAGTATTGGCGGCTCATCTCGCGCCTGCAGGTTATTAAAGTCTCCGTTACATGAGGCAAGAGCACGTCTCGAAGATCGGCATTTTCCTGAAATGGCCATTGCTTTCTACGGTTTGCGCTGGCAGCAACCAGCGCAAACCGTAGTGTTTTCAGGAAGAACAGCAAAAGGGAATGAGATTAAATGAACAAAATCTCGCCGAGGTCGCGCTAGTAGGAACTTTATAGTTTGCTCATCGTCGATTCAGTGATAACGCAATATTTATAATATGCAACGAACTTTTTTTCCGTGTGCTTACATTGGCAGCAACATCTGTAGAAAAACCTAGCCAGTAACGCAAGCGATCTTTAGGCACGGGAAAAGGCTCGTAAGAATGGTATGACTTGTTTCCGAAATTATTAAAAGTACTGATTATTGAGGCAAGATAACACACAAGATATCTTCTGGCAGTGCTATATTTATCACGACGACTAATTGCTTCAAAGTGTTCGAGTATTAAGCACCTTACTGATGATTCTTGTGTGCGCATGGCTTGAGCAATTTCTTCTGACGAAAACAATGTATTCTTTATACATCAGCACACAAACAATTTATCGCGCAAATATACCTAATTAGTGCGTGGAGTCAGATATAACAGATAGGATTCTCAATATTATGTGTATACCAGAAATACTACCATACCGTAGTTGTTTTAGGCGCTGTAAACACCTACACCAAGGGCGATAAAGCTAAAAAAAACTCTATTTTGGCAAAAAAATACATTTTCTCGGACGCGTTGTATCTCAATTATAAAAGGTCAAACACAAAGCCATTGATCCAAAACAAGAGTACAATGTATATCTTTCATACGTCCGAAATATCACTAACACTCCGAGCTGTGCCTGCCGGACAAGATAGAACTCGATAAAGTTCTGTCAACCCTGTCAAAGCACACGTAATTTACCAGCGCCACCCCAGATACGTACGCGCTAGCTTATGTGGCTACCAGAATGGCGTATAATGCAAAATTCAAGTTGCCATACGAAAAAAAAAAAGGAAAAAAAAGTGGCAGGGAAAACACAAGAAATGCGAAACAAACAAAGCGCTTTCTTTGTCTAGGCATTCTTATGCCGTTCTCTGGAGTTTTTATTTTCGCAGAATGTACTAAATATGTCTCACTTTTACATTTATTGCAATACAAGCCAAACAAAGAGAAAAGAAAAGTTTAAAAGTTAAAACTGCCTACCGTATTAAAAAAAGGCAAAAAAAAACTAATTCTTTAGTCTTTCCCTATATTATGAAACCTTTTAAATTATTTACAAACGACATAATATGTTAAAAGTCGAATCATAAACGCAAAGAAGGCTGGTAAAATTTTAGCATGATTTAATAAATCATATACAATCTGAACCGCGTGGCAGTGAAGGCGCTTGTCTGAGTTTTTTTAAATTCTTAAGGAAGACCTAGATGTTTCATCATATTTCATTGAACCGTTCTTGGCTTCGCTGAGCGCAATAAAAAAAAATCAATTCATTAGATTTTTGTTTATCAGCCTAGAGGGAAGCTCCCCGAAGGAATACATGTTGTGTAACGATGTAATAAGTATTTGTAATTATTCCTCATTTAAAGCCGTTATAAAGGAAATGTATAAAATAAACAGGACAGTTATGTTGGTGATTCAAAATGGCGTGGTATAATTAGAATATCATGAAATCTTTACGTAAATATTTTAAGTATGTAATTATATACTCTGTTGCAAATTAAGAAAGTGATCAAGATGTAACTGCACAACTTTTCCTTTGTCTTTCCTCAATCTCAGCATGTTCTATACATAAATATATATAAAAAACTATACGTCATAATCTAGCCCTTGAAACACTAAGAAACAATATTACGTACAAGACGACGAAAATTGTTTTTGTCGTCTTGCCAGTTATTATATTTCTTTGTGTTCTACGGTGTGGATTATGATGTTTCCAAACCAGCACGCCTCCATACTTCAGCTTTTCGAAAATTACGTTATTTTATTTACAAGTGTTTCCAGTGTTGACAGGAGTTAAAAACAAATAACGTTCCTACTTTTGATGGATAAAACTGTGAACCAAGTGAGGAGGAGGGCTTATTTTGAGTCTGTATCGCCCTTTAAATTTCAGGTAATCAAAAAAGGGCCGCGTAGATTAGAGTGACATTTTTTTTCTCGTCTCACAATGTGTATGGGTAAAAAAAAGATTTTGGACAGTGAAAGAGAGCTGCAATGTTTAAAATAAATGCGGTATGAGTTTTGCTGTACACTGAAGTCCCATGTATATTTTTCTATTAAGGATACCTTGTAGACCTATGCCATGAGTTTTAGTTCATCACAAATACAAAAAAAAAATATCAGCTCTTTTTTCTGACAGAATGTCGCTTATATGGGGCGTTGCCGTAAGAACCAGGAGAGGCCTTGCAAAATTCGAATTCCAAACATAGATACCTACTTGAAATTGGAGACGCAAACGTCATATCACAATAAAGTTTTACGTCTACTTTATTTATCCTCAACACAAAGTTGGTTAAAAATATAGAGGAAAAACATCGACCGAGCATATGCTATGTCCATCTCGGCCTGCTCTCTGTCTGCACACCGGTTTGACGGTTCGATATCATGTGGCGTGGGCAACGCGAAAATGCTGAGTGCGTTATAGGGGAGACTGGCGACAAGATGTATGATCTCAATTAATAATTATTTTAAAGGAATATATAAACGGTGTAGCAGTTCCATTTCAGATTTAAAACCAAATTAACGTTTGTGATTGATACAATAATTCTAAATTAAGGCGAAGGCTTGTTCTATTTTGTCGTCTGCTACCCCTTCGCTCATCTATGCTGGCCTCGTATGGAGCGTAGGGAGGAGTGACCGAATGAAAGAAGACCAAACAAAACAAGCATATTTGCCTACTTTAGATTTTATTTTTATTTTATCAGACAGAAAGGTGACTTTCAGCTTCTAAATTCGATTAGAAACTGCATTATTTTTAATATATTTTGTTAAAAATATTTTTATTGCTGTTATGCGGCTCGTCACCAGCCTCTCACACGTCGTTATCGGCGTTTTTCGTTCACCACGCCACCTGGGAACGAGCTTACAAACCAGTACGCAGCCAAAGAGCAGGCCGGTTACAGGGTGTGCCGGCCACTTCTGGCCGCTATGACAGGGGGACAGAAATACTTCCAGTTTTCCTACGTTTTCCTTGCGTTTGGGTGGATGCGCCACGACTCTTGGTTCACTAGAGAGCAATTCCGTGAGAGCTATCCGCTCTAAAAATGCCCGAATGTCTTACTTTTTAGTTGCCGTAGCGTACTGGCACGAACAAAATGTCACAAGTGAAGTTACATCGATTATCTCGAGACGAGGAAAGCCATCTACGCTGCCGAGCCAAGGTGATCGCTGGACGATGGCTTTAGCAGACTGTGCTAGCCTGCTTTGATGTACTGTTGACTGATGGCGCAACGCAACAACCGCGAAAATGCGCCGAAGGCGTCGCAGCGCCTCGACTGGCCTCAACCGACTCATCTCCGCACAACGACGGACAATTACGGCACGTGAAAATGCAGTTTTCAGAGTAATCTGAGAAACAAAACCTGAATACTAAAGCAAACAAGTAAAAACACAGAAAAGTTTGCATTACAGACTCGTGTCGCGCTAAACACTCTAAAAATGCCTGCCCGTCTACTTAATTGCAAAACACTCAGAGTCAATCTCTGCGATCTGCGAAATCAGCTCAGCGCATCCATGATGAGACGGAACATCTGTTTAGATTTACAAATGAAGTCTGCGCTGTGCCATTATGCAATGCAAAACGTCATGCTGGCCGACGAAAATAATCTCTGGAGAAGAGGAACAAGGGGCACAAAGGACAAACACAGATCTCCAAACACATTTGTGTTTACCCTTCGCCCCCCTTATTTTCGTCATTCGTGTGTAGCTCGTTGCACGTTGCCTTAATTGCAATATCATCATACTTGCATTGCGTAATGTAACTGCGCAGACTTAATTTTGAGGTCTGAACAGATATTCTGCCACGTCATTCGCTGAGCAGATTTCGTAGATCGCAGAGACTGTATCTTTGAATGTTTCGCGGATACGTAGACGCGCAGGCATTTATAAGTGTGAGGGAAGCGTAATAACAACTTTCAGAAGGTTGTCTGCTAAAACCAAAACCCGGTTTGGCTCCCCTTCCGGATAGCTCGGCGCGTATCTTTGGCGCTAGGCGCCCACCGCCGATGCCTTGCCGTTCACGAAGTAGTTTATCGCGTTTAGGGATTCGAAGGTTTTAAGTCATCCTCAGTTATAGAGACCAGGGTAGTCGAATAGCTAACCCTAAAGATGCGCCCAAGATACCTTGGCCAGATTTGTCATCTCTTTGAGGAAGAAGTGATTTTCCTTTTCACCCAAGGAAGCAGGAAGGCATGCCGAACCCGTATAAGTAAATGTTAGATGGTACCGCAGTTAGCACTCGACGGCAAGATTTTGAAAGTACCCGTTACTCACAGCGGGTCCTTAAAAACAAGCAAAAACGATAGCCAGTCGGAATTAAAATGCTCCTCTGTAAGTTCGACCATTATTTGTCTTTGTTTACCTTCGCACACCCTGTATAGGACAAAAAGATGCACGGTCGAAATTTTCGCTTTATTTTTTTTAATGTTTCACCACCTTTAAATTAAAAATGCATTTTTTTTTGCGAAACGACGTTTGCGTGCGTAGTTTGAGGCATGTAAATGTAGAATTTGTTTTTTGCGAGGCATGACAAATGTGCTGGCCTTACGTGCCCACCCTGTATATAAAATATAGGTTTCTTTTTCTTATCTTTACACATTTGTTTACAAAACAAAGGCTATGAAAGCTACACTTGTTCCTGTGCAGGTGAGTTATAGAACCAGGGAGACATAGTATATGGGGCTAATTGTAACGATGAGTGGGCTAATTGAGTAAAATGCGTTGATTACCTTTTTAATTCGTGAAGATATTTGTATGATTCTGATTAGAAACTAGCTGAGCGACATCCGGAACCCCTAAAGTATTAATTTTTTGAAATTCTTTGTACGCGTGAGAAGCGCAGTACTGCGCTAAAGGTATTACTCGTGGAGCAGGTACAAGGCTGGGGCTCTCATATAAGACGGCAAAATCGCGCGGGCGCCTTACTGCAACCGCTAGCCTTGTACCTGCTCCTCGAGTAGTGTCTTTAGTGCGATACTACGCTTTTCACGAGCACAGTGTTCCTGAAAATTACTGATTTACTGGTTTTCGATTACGCTCAACTAGTTTCTAATTGGAACCAAATTTATATTTCCATGAATTAAAACGTTAATTAACAAACGTTACTTGATTAGCCAACTGATCATTACGACTAGCTCCATATTCTATGTCGCCCTGGCCGTATAACTCACCTGCACTAAGCGCATAAGTTTAACTTTCACGACATCTTTAAAATAAACCTTTAAAACTTAAAAACGGAAACGCCCCTAATGCAAAACTGTCCCTTCAGTCACCGGCGGGTTAAATAGTTCTAATATTACAAAACAGTAAACAGGTCCCAGAAGAAAAACAGTCACATTTATTTTAAGACTAGCCATTTAGTGAAAGTGACGTGCACAAACATTTAGGACGCCGAAGTTGAGTCCGCTTTCAAATGGTTTTCCCCCTAGTCATAGCGGGCGTGCGAGTGAAGTTCCTTGTTTTGTTTTATCTATGGGCTCGATTAATGTGTCAAGCCAAGATTTTACAATTTTTGGCTTTTTCCGTTTTGGGACTTACGTTTATGCAAACACCATCGATACCAACACACGGTATGATAAATATTTTACAATATTTTTTTCAGCCAGGAATGTTACAAAAAGGTATAAACGTGAAAGTAACTACAGCGATTCTATTTGGTAACGATGGTTCAAATCAGCTTATATTTATATTATATTAGACAGAAATAAAGGCCGAGCGCAACACCGTTAATTGAATACAAAATTTGTCCGTCTAAACCATGCTTTGCCGGTGACGTTATGACGCTTTTTGAGCGCAGCTCTTAGGCGCCCGTTTCCGAATTAAGCGGCGTCGCCGTCGCCGTCGCCGCGGCGTAACCACGCTTTGTAATGGAACGTTTGTCATAATGTCACACGTGACATCACGAGGGTTACCTTCCTGCGGGTTACAAGGGTTGCCCTCATGAGGGTCACGAGGGTTACCCTCACGAGGGTAAAAAGAGTTACCCTCACAAGGGTAAAAAGAGTTACCCTCACTAGGGTACAAGAGACTTGACCTCACGATGGTTACGAAAGTTACCCTCACGAGTGTCACGAGGGTTACCTTCACGAGGGTCACAAGGGTTACCCTTATGAGGGTTACCCTCACGAGGATCACGAGAGTAAGAAGGGTAACCCTCGTGAGGGTAACCCTCGTGAGGATCACGAGGGTAACGTCACGAGGTTACACTCATGACGTCACACGTGATGTCACGTGTGACGTCACACGTTACGCCACTTAACCAAGAAACATTTTTCCGCTCAATATAGCGGGAAAATTTCCCGCAAAATTTAGCGGGAAACTTTTACCCTCGTGACGTCGCTTGTGACGTCACGTGTGACGCTACGTGAATAAATGTGATGTCACGTGAAATTTGGCAAAAAGGCTTCGACTAAACTTAGCGGTTTAGCGTGGAAATCGATGTCACGTGACGTCCACACTAATTCAGTTTCCCCGCTAAGTTTAGGGGGAAATTTATCGAAAATGTGCCCTCTATATCGGTCGGGAGCAGGGGAGGAGGAGGGGAGGGTACGGAGGGGAAGGAGGGGCATACCCTCCTTTTCGTACCTTCCCCTTTTCCTCCTCAAGAGCTGCGCTCTAATTCGGCATTACAGAGAATTGTAAACGTCTTTCGTTTTTTGTTTCTATTTAATTCTAAATCATCCAGTGCTCCTCAATAGTGCCCTCTAAGGAAGACAGTTAAAACTTCGATATAGAATTATACTTCTACAAAGGCTATTACCGTGATCCCTGTGAGATCTATTCAAGTCATCTATCGGTTTAGATAAATATGCATGACTAATACGCACTTTTCTATGCTAAGCGCTTTCGATTGCATGCATATGCATTTGAATTCTCACTAGCCAGAATGTAGAGGCTTTATGATGGAGTGCAAGGCTGTCCAGTAATGTTATCTCAATATGACCAGTTAACGTCATTGAGGAACTGCGGGTCGTGGCTATGCATTTCCAGGAGTTGGCAAAATAATTTACTCTTTAAATAATCGTGTAATAAAAAAGTTCATTAGGTATCACGCCCCGTAATTTATGTGTTTCGTATAGGTACGAGACGCACGCAAATAAACCTGCTGGCGTCTCTCGATGTTCAAAACAAACAAACAAGAAAACAAACCGCAAACAAATGGTGTGGGACATTATGTCGTTCCAGGTTGAGACCATCGGCGACGCCTACATGGTCGTGTCCGGGATTCCCGTGCGCAACGGTATCATGAACGCCCGGGAGATAGCGCGGATGTCCCTGGCGCTCCTCAAGCAGGTCCTCTCCTTCAAGATCCGACATCGACCGGGAGAGAAGCTCAATCTACGCATCGGCATCCACACGGGTACCTACGCTCGTCATCCTGTCAGCCTGATCACGATTAATTGTTCTGTGTACGCGTTTCGTCAGGACGTAGCTCATGCGGACACGTCTGATGGAGCAAGGCAGAGAGTGCAGGCGAGTGGGTTACGGTCTGCTATGTAACAGCCGTGCGCAAAACAAAACAAAAAGTGCGACACACAGCATCACCTTTTTATTAATTTTAGCATTACTGGGACGTGGTATGTAGAATGGACTTTCACGTGGTAAAGTACGGTGTGAGACATGCAAATTTTCACTTATTTGGGAGAAATATTATTTTGTCGTATGAGACCAGTGATGTAAACCAAGTTCGATCATTTTTTGTTCTGATTCACACAAAAAATAATGAAATGTCGTTGGCAGAACGCTGGTCCGCGATCACATGCTAAACACAAGTAGTTTATAATCTCCTCGCGGATTATAGTGGCCAGTGAGATCTAGACCCCATTTGATTAGTTCAGTTAAACGTCGTTGGAGCTTAACGGCATAACTATAGACGACTGTAAAGAAGGTGGACACGCTGCTCGATTATGTTCTTTTTTAATGGAGGAATCAAACATTTCTATGCTGAGTACAGCTGTCTGTCTTCTCGGCCTGCCCGCACGAGTCAATAATTCTTTCAGGTGGTTTTCAGTCATCCTACATCTCATTTACTTGTTTTGCACGCGAATTTGAATAGCGAATTGTTTATAATTTTGAATTAAATTTAGAGCGCAGTGGACAGAAGAATATGTGACACCGGTCTGCGAGCCCTTTATAAAGATAGTACGATCAATTCTAGGGGGACGGGCGTGCTCCCAACAGTGGGGGAGGCTCTGCCACCTGATCCTTATGTTCCTTTTTAGTGCAGTGTCAAAAATTCATTCAATCTATCGAACCGGTCCTCAATGCAATTAACTGTAGATATCAAGAATTATTATCCCAATGAAAAAAAATACATTTTTTAATGATTTGCTGATCACACCGGAAAACGCCGGCTGCCTTTGTTTAGTACCCAATTGAATACGTGCGCGCATTGCACGGAATAACTTTTTAGTCCCCAAAAGCTATATAACCTTCAACTTCAGAGACGTAGAAATAGTAACCTAATGTAGTTCATATATATTTGCGTACAATGACTGCTACGGTACTACTCTCAACTAGTGTTTGACGGATATGTTTCTGAACACGCCCACTGCTCTTTCGGTCATTGACTTTCTTTTACTGGCGCTCATGTAAGCTGAATTAATAGCAGAGCTCCCCTTAACCTCCTCCATGTTCCTCTTATTGACTTTAGTTTGAGGGCAATTGTGTTAGATATAAGGACAGAGGTATGATATTCAAAAAAGAAAAATAGACAGATATAAAGAAATGGACACGAAGTACGGAGCTTGTGCAAAACAAATTTTAAGGGTGAAGGATCTGCGATTGGTGCCCTAATATTTATATAGGAACAGCCTCGGATACCGGGCCACATTTTGTTTTCTCAAGCATAATTTTGTTGTGAAAAAATAATTTCATATGCTTTAATTCATTCCAGAACTAAAACACACGGTACTTTACGTGAGATACAACATTTATGTGGAACGTGCTTGTGCAGTTGACTTTTCCTTAAGCAACCTCGTTTGAAATGCATCAATGAAATGCTCGTTCTAAGAGTTGTTCACCTGGTAATACCCATAAATAACTTACACCCACAGACATTAATATTTTAAATCCAGGTACGTGCTTTCCTACACACCCCACCCCTCTCATACTTTCTGCAATTTACGTTCGATTATATAAACTGTGCTCTAGCGAGAGATGCGCACACTTTTTATATTTGGGCAGGGTACGGATGTAACAAATGTAAACAAATGTATTTTTTGCCTTATTTACTTTCTAGCAAAAGTAAACAAAACACTTTCGATCAACAATTGGAGCACTGCGGAACGCTAGCTACGTTTGTAGACTTTGTTGGATTAGGGTTGGGGCGTTTTTATCACGGTGAGCTCATGACCATAGGCGCGGAACGCCGCTCTTTGACCCGATGGATTTAGTTGATTAAATGTAGATAATTATATGATGATCTGAGCGCATCACGGGTAAGTATGTGGACAAGTACTTTGGGATATTTGTTGTCTACGAGCGTAGAAAGGGAGAGCTAATTGGGCTTCCAACTTATAATTAGATTATTGCTGGGTAGGCCCTCGTAAGCCGGTTACTATCATCAGTGCTGCATTTAATTTCATTACGAAGTTAGGTAGCAAAGCTTGCCAGAGCCATATTAACCCGAAGGTGGGCGGAGTTAGAACGTGAAGAAGGATTTTTCATGTCTCGCAGCACCCGCTATTTTATCTCCAGCCTTTTCAGGCTCAAGCTGCGCTATCGCTACCGTATTCTCGGTAATTATATTTGGCGACAACTTCTTTTGCAATACACTGGAGTTTACATACACGCGTTCCCTATCCCATTTTGAGCGCTGGGTAAGGCTGTGCGCGAGCTCTCCTCAACTTTCACTGCAATGCCAAGACAGTTGTTGCCGAGCATACCACATGAACAAAAAATTAAAAAAAGGTATTCATTAACGAAGCAATATTTTCACATTTTACTATCTGTGTCACACTTATCGAATTTCACGAACGACTATCTCTCTTGAGAACCAAGAGGCTTTACTTTTCACATTGTTGCAACCTGATGAAGAAACTTTCAGACCTCAGGTTTTCCTGGATGATAAATTATTGCTCCCTTCTCCAAGGCATGTGCATATTTAGAGAAGGCTTTACAAGTTTCATAATTTCAGTATCGCTTAATCTTGGTAAAAGCTAAAAAGAACTGGCAAATTTTTCGCTACTGAGGGTGAAGTGACATAACAATATGAAAAGCCCTAATGTAAAAGGCCTGTATGGCTAGTACAGTGACCTGTAGAGGAGGTGGGGGGGGGATTTTACTTTTGAGGTTTTTCCATGACTTGACAAATGGATAAAATAAACTGCGGCATGATGTTTAAAATAAGTTTGACCTTGTAAAACTTATGAAAAGAGCATTTAGTTCTTCTTATTTAGTGACACTAAGCAAAGTGTTTTTAGTGCGGGTAAGTGTTTGTGTGATCATTCTTATTAATGACGTGGCACCATTCTGAGGCTTCTGTGCGGTTCTTTAACAATTATTTCTAGCAGATGCGACTACCTATGTGCTTTGATATGTCGTGCTGATATTAAATTCCTAATATTTCGTCTGAGCAAGTTGTCACTAAGGCAATATACTTCTTTAAAGCAGTGATAGAGCGCAGGAGAGCTGGTAATGATTCGACATTCTGTAAACCCTGTAGACGGCCCCCATCTCAGGGTCTAAAAGATGTTGAATATACTTCCATCTATAATAAAAGACAGCAATTTCTGTTTACTGCCCAATCCTGCATGATCTTTTTACGCTTAGTGTTGCCAGGAGCTTTATCTTTGTATTTTTATTTAAAAAATAAACTTTATCCTTATCATTATCCCTATTTTTATCCTTATCCTTATCCTATCCCTATCGATATCATTGTCCTTACCCTTATCGCTATCCTTATTCTATCCCCCTGGTGACGAAGCACTTGTCTTTCTATCTTGAGGTCCATGTGCGGCCGGCGTCGTCGGTCTCAAAATGCCCCGCTACTGCCTCTTCGGAGACACTGTCAACACGGCATCGAGGATGGAGTCTAACGGAATGCGTGAGTACATAACATTAGACATAACAATAACACAATACTTGAAGTCTTAAAAATGAACCGGTAGTTTTATATGACTTGGCGTATCATTATTTTGGAGATTTTTAAGTGGTAATTTCAAGCTATGTATAACTAAAACACTGCAGATTCACCCTGCCTTTTATGGAAGATGTGAAATATAAGCCTGCTTGTTTATAGTGGCTTAAAAAGTTAATTTAGTGGAAGATACGAAACAATACTAGTTAAGTAACCACCACAAACTACCCAATTTAAACGTCCACTATACTCTCATTACGTCTCCATGCAATTCATTTTAGAGACAGCAATTTTCACGATATCGTTCATTTTAGGATTCTTGCCATGAAGTTTTCGACTCGTGAGCATTAAGAAGCTTGTGTCGCAGAAAGGCCAGCGTTAGCGTCGGTGGAATGAAGAAATCCTGATTGTTCGATAGGGACATGACGTCATAGCCCCATTACCCGGTGCGGGAATTTCAAACAACCCACAATACTCATGCGAAACATGGCGTCATGCGTGGAATGAAAGGGGATAAAACATGGCATCTAATTCAAATTAAGGGTTGCCTCGTCTCTCGAATGATTTCACTTTATAAAGTAATCTATTTGCCTTAAAGAAAAAGTTCGAAGAATTTTAGACGGGATTCGAACCCACGACTCTCCGTTTGCGCGTCAGACGCACTACTGTATAGGCCACGCAGACGCGCTTGAAGGTCTTGGAAACGAGGGGGAGTTTATAGGTTTAGCTCTCGCGTTCCACTCTTAAAGGCGATGCTTAAGCGTCGTCCTGTAATTTCATTTCATAGCTCTCCAGGTCAAAAAGAGCAAGCGCGGCGATAACTAACCTAACGGCAGTTAGTGATTCTGACTTACCGCCCCAAAAAACTTTAGTTCAGCAGCACTCAATTATTGGAAATCGTGATTTTATATTTGATTATAGTCACTTGATACTTTACAAGTTCGGCTTGCATTCGATTATTTTTTTTGTGAAATAAGTTTCAAATAAAAACAGAAAATAAAATGTTTGTTGTTAATCAAGCAGGCATTTTTTTTCTGAAGAAGGAAGTTAGGATGTTACTGAACACTGTGAAGAAATGTGTAAAATGCAACTTAATATGTAAGACTGTGGGTAATTTTCTTGAACCTACAGCATTTAAATATGTTCATATAATTTAGTGCACCAATCTAAGATATCAATAAAGCACACACCTAATTGAGTATTGCAGAATATCTTAATCGTCAAACAACACCTGCTGATAAAACGGAAACATCTAGTTTTCTATTATACGCAGGCTACGACCGGTTTATGAAATAAGTAGTGCGTCGTGGGAGGTTTTTTGAAAGCTGATAGCACTCGTAAAACGTGGTAATGCGTAGCTTACAGGCTTTCACGTGGAAACAAAACGGTACTTATATTTAAGGTGCCTTTCAGGCCTTCTGGTTGGAGCAATGTTATCAGAAACCTAATTTCTACAAATATGTTCCCTTCCAGTTTGTCAATCGTTTTGGGACATTCGTAAAATTGTAGAAAATGTATTGCGCCTGTACTAGATGCACCGAGACACATTAAAGTTGTCATCCCCAATAAAAAGATATTACGGAACAGTTTGATCTAATATTATCTTTCTACTTCTGCGGGACCTATCGTGAGGTTTCTGGACTAGTGAAGTTCATATTATTTGAAGATATTGCCGCGCGCGCAGCTGGCCAAGCAGGCAGCGCGCGCGTAGCCTAACGGTTATCGCGCTTGCTTTCCACGCTGAAAGCCAGGGTTCGATTCCTGGCCGCGGAGGCGCATTTTTGTTGACTCTGTAAAGTAATGTTCTCGTAAATTCGAGAACCATGTTGGCTTGTTCGAGGTCAGAATGTTCTACACGCCGAACCTTCTACGCCTATTATTCCAGAAGCCCACACGTGTACATAATGGACTCCGCGCGGCGATTTGCATTCAGTCTCGCCCCAGCGTTCGACTCTGCTGTTACGCCGACTTCGACGCCCGCGACGCTCTGTTATTATCTTTAGTACCCTTTTATTTTTGGCACAAGTTCGCCACATTAAACATTTATTTCTTCCTGTTTATTTATTGTTTTTGGTCACCACCCGTGACATTTTGGTGAAGGCGCGGGGTACCGCATGCTTGTGCAGCGTTCCCCTCCCAGGGCCCGCAGTGCAAGTCCGATTCCCGGCTCGGTGAGAAGACCACTCACCGCGGAACCTGAAACTCGAACCAGCCGCCGCACCAAGGGAGAGGATCTGGAGTACGGTTTGCTGCTGGAAAAGCCCAAGCCGAAGAAGACGCCGATGACCAACCAGTCGCAGACCCCCGCCGCTCCTGCCGTCGTCTACCTACCCGTCGCTCCTAGGACAACCGGCTCCCTTCCAAGGCGAAAGCCACGAAGGCATCGACGACTGGGTTCAACAGTATGAACGGGCGGCCCGTCATAACGGGTGGACACCGGAACAGTGCATGCAGAATGCTTACTTCGCCTTGGAAGCAACTGCCCGGAACTAGTTCGAGAACCATGAAGCATCGATCAACTCCTGGGAGCAACTCAAGGCTGGGTTGCGAAGAACATTCACCAACCAACAACGAAAAGAACGCGTGGAAGAGCTTCTTCAAGCGAGGATCCAAGGCCCTAACGAGAGCGTCGTTAGCTTTATGGAAGATGTCCTACGACTCAGCAACCGCGCCGATCCTGAAGCTACCGAAGAAAGAAGCTCAGAGTCTTGATGCGCGGCGTGAAAGAAAACATTTTCGGTGGTCTTGTGCGGAGCCCGCCTACCACAGTTGAAGGCTTCATGACGGAGGCCACCAACATCGAACGTGCACTTCAAGCACGAGCCGCCCACTACCACCGAGTTCCCGGCGTCGGTGCCTTTTCGCCTTCCGGCAGCAACACCACGGACATCCGCGAGATAATCCGAGATGTCGTCCGGGAGTAGATCAAGAAACTTCTACCTGCCGCCGCAAGCCCAGCTTCGCCCTCAATTGCCGAGATTATCAGGGAAGAAGTCCAGCAAGCGCTGCAGCCTGAGGTTCTCGTCAGCACCGCTCCGGAACCACCGACGTTGAGTTACGCCTCAGTGGCTCGATGGCCACCGCCTCCTCGTCGCACCTATGTCGGGCCGCCCCGACGTCAGTCTCCTGCGCCGCAGCTCGCCCGACGCCGCGACGACCAGGTCCAGTACGCCTGCCCGGAGCCTCGCGCACCCCGTGAGACCGACGTGTGGCGAACGCCCGACCGACGCCCTGTGTGCTTCCATTGCGGGGAAGCGGACCACACCTACCGCCGATGCCCATACCGTCGACTCGGGCTACGCGGGTTCCACCCGAACGACCCGCGCCCCCGTCATGGCGAACGCCCTACCGAGATCGACGAGTACCTGCGACGACCTCAGTCCCCCGAGCCTGCGTCCCGCCGAGAGTTCCGATCGCCTTCGCCACGACGTCCAGCTTCGCCAATGAACCGACCCCGACGTGGAAGCCTGTCGCCCCTCGCTCCTCGCCGGGGAAACTAGGCGCGGCAACCCCTAGAGGTCGAGTTGCCGAGGACGACCGACGCAAAGAGCCTCCAAGAACGACGGAGCGCTCCCACTCTCCCGACGCTACGCATCACAACGACGCTCCTGCATCGGTGTCCAACAACCTAAACATTGTTATCGACGGCCTCGACGCATCGGCACTCGTGGACACCGGAGCAGACTACTCAGTCTTGAGTGGGAGGCTCTCCCGCCGCCGTCGAAAAGTCACGACGCCGTGGGATGGACCTCAAGTACGAACCGCCGGAGGGCACCTCATCAAACCAGTCGAGAGATGCACTGCTCGCGTCGAGATCCACGGTGAGACGTGCCCTGTGAAGTTCGTCGTTCTGCAAGACTGTTCTAGGGACGTTATCCTCGGAATGGACTTTCTCTGCGAGTATAGCGCCGTCATCGACCTCGCGGCAAAACCAGCTGACGGTGCGAATGCCTGTTTTACCGCCGGTGGAGACCAACACGACGTCAACAGCGATCCGAGTTATCGCCGACCATGTGAACTTACCGCCGTGGTCGAGTGTTTTTCTCACCGTCATAACCGACGCAGCCATGCACGGTGAAGCTCTCCTGGAAGGCAGTGTCCAGCTTCTCCTTGAGAAAGGAATTGGCGTCGCACGAGGCGTAACGGATCTCCGAGAAGGACGTACAACTGTTCTTGTGACAAACTTCCGAGAAGAGCCACAGCACCTAACGAAGGGTACCACCGAGGGCCAAATCGAGGAGCTTAAAGCGCCAACCGTGGTCACCGCAATCTCCGAAGAAACCTCGTCGTCCCAACAGAACAGCGCGCCGCCGCCGCCGATCGACATCGACCCCGAGCTCCCAGCTCCTAAGCGCCAGCAACTGGTTGATCTCTTCGCCGAATACAGTGACTGTTTTGCCACGTCGTCGAAAGTGCGCCAAACATCAATGGCGAAACATCGCATTATTACCGACGACGACGCGCTCCCTGTCCACCAGTCGCCGTATCGAGTCTCCTTAAAGGAAAGGAAAGTGATTCAAGATCAAGTCCAGGAGATGCTTGACGACGACGTCATTGAACCCTCAAGAAGCCCACGGGCGTCCCCATGGGCGTCCCCATGGGCGTCCCTAGTCGTCCTTCTAAAAAAGAAGGACGGAACCCTGCGGTTCTGCGTGGACTATCGTCGACTGAACGCTGTGACGAAGGACGTTTATCCGCTTCCCCCATCGACGACACGCTAGACCGGCTGCGCCACTCCCGATATTTTTCGTCAATGGACCTGAAGAGTGGTTACTGGCAGATTGAAGTCGACGAGCGTGACAAGGAGAAAACTGCCTTCGTCACACCCGACGGACTGTACGAATTCAAAGTGATGCCGTTCGGACTTTGTACAGCACCAGCCACATTTCAGCGCGTCATGGACACCGTGCTGGCAGGTCTGAAATGGCAGAGCCGCCTCGTCTACCTGGACGATGTCGTGGTATTCTCACGAGATTTCGACGAACACCTCAGACGACTTCGAGCCGTACTTCAAGCCATCAAAACCGCCGGCCTGAAACTCAAGCCAACAAAGTGTCGGTTCGCCTATGGGGAATTAAAGTTCCTTGGCCACGTCGTGAACAACAAAGGTGTTCTGCCTGACCCCGAGAAGACCCGCGCCGTAGCTGCATTTACGCCGCCGGCTGACAAGAAGGCCGTGAGAAGATTTCTCGGACTCTGTGCCTACTACAGGCGCTTTGTTCGAGACTTCGCCAAGCTGTCCGCACCGCTGACACACCTCACGAAGGACGCTGTAGAGCTCCAGCGGACAGAAGGACCCCAGAGGTCATTCGAAGAGCTCAAACGAAGACTCCAGACGCCCCCCATTCTTGGCCATTTCGACCAGTCTGCTGAAACCGAGATCCACACCGACGCCAGTAACACAGGACTGGGTGCGGTACTAGTCCAACTGCAGGACGGCGCAGAGCGAGTCATCGCATACGCAATTCGGACGCTGTCTAACGCGGAAAGGAACTATTCAACTACTGAAAAGGAGTGTCTCGCTGTCGTCTGAGCAATAACTAAGTTTCACCCATATTTGTATGGAAGTCCTTTTCGCGTGGTCACAGACCACCACTCGCTCTGCTGGCTCGCGAATCTAAAGGACCCATCCGGACGCCTCGCCCGGTGGAGCCTCCGACTGCAGGAGTTCGACATGACCGTGGTGTACAAGTCCGGCCGGAAGCACAATGACGCCGACTGCCTGTCAGGGGTCCCAGTCGAGGTCGCTCCTGCCTGCACCAAAGAGGACGACGATGAGTGCTTCCTCGCCGCTCTGGATGTCAGCGACATGGCAGCACTCCAACGCTACGACCTTGAGCTTCGAGCACTCATCGAGCACCTAGAGGGACAAGGAAGCGCCGTTCCTCGCGGTTTTGCACGGACACTGTCAACCTTCTCCCTCCGACGAGGTGTGCTCTACAAGGAAAACTTCAGCGACAACAACACGGTGTGGCTGTTGGTGATCCCTTCCAGTCTTCGAGAAGAACTTTTTCAAGCCTGCCACGATGACCCGACGGCGGGACACCTTGGTTACAGCAGGACTCTTGCCAGGATACGCGGAAAGTACTACTGGCCCAAGCTTGCGAAGGCAGTGCACCACTACACCCGATCTTGCCACGAGTGTCAACGACGGAAGAAGCCACCGAGGAGACCGGCAGGACTTCTTCAGCCTATTGCGCCGCCATCTGCCCCATTCCAGCAAATCGGTATTGATTTACTCGGACCTTTCCCACCGTCGACGCAAGGAAACCGATGGATCATCGTCGCAACCGATTATCTCACGCGGTACGCCGAGACAAGAGCCCTTTCATCAGGAACGGCTGTTGAAGTCGCGAAGTTTTTCATCGAGTCCATCGTCCTCCGGCACGGTGCTCCTGAAGTCCTGATCTCAGACCGTGGATCATCATTCATGGCCCAGCTGACGCAAGGAGTCCTTCGTCTCAGCCACACCAGCCATCGCCGCACCACGGCGTACCACCCGCAGACCAACGGGCTAACGGAAAAACTCAACAAGACCATCGCCGACGTGATCTCCATGTACGTCGACGTGGAGCACAAGACATGGGACGAGGTGCTGCCGTACGTCACATTTGCCTACAACACGGCCGTACAAGAGACCACCGGAGTGACACCCTTTCAACCGGTGCATGGGCGCAAGGTAACGACAATGCTGGACGCTATGTTACCCCACGAACCGGCTGTCGACGCAACCGACGACGCCCAGGTGGTTGCCCTAAGGGCAGAAGAAGCCCGTCAGCTCGCCAGACTCCGGATTAAGGCTCAACAACGTGTCGACACTGGCCGCTACAACCTTCGTCGTCGGGACATCCATTTCCAGCCCGGAGACAGGGTGTGGGTGTGGACACCGATTCGCCGCCGCGGTCTCACCGAGAAACTCCTGAAACGTTACTTTGGACCCTACAAAGTGCTTCGTCGACTCGGGGATCTGAACTACGAGGTGATGCCCGACGGAACACGGACTTCGTAACGCCGGCATCCACGACCGGAAGTCGTCCACGTCGTGCGATTGAAGCCGTATTACGCTCGATAGGACTGTCGACCTTGTGTGTTCCAAATGACTCTTTAGTTTACCGTTCTTTTTATTCGTTTTCTTTTGTTTTTGGGTTGCATCGGGGCAATGCACTTTTTAAAGGGGGGAGTAATGCCGCGCGCGCAGCTGGCCAAGTAGGCAGCGCGCGCGTAGCCTAAGGGTTATCGCGCTTGCTTTCCACGCGGAAAGCCAGGTTTCGATTCCTGGCCGCGGAGGCGCATTTTTGTTGACTCTGTAAAGTAATGTTCTGGTAAATTCAAGAACCATGTTGGGCTTGTTCGAGGTCAGAACTTTCTGCACGTCGAACCTTCTACTCCGATTATTCCAGAAGCCCACACGTGTACATAAGGGACTCCGCGTGGCGATCTGCATTGAGTCTCGGCCCAGCGTTCGACTCTGCTGTTACGCCGACTTCGACGCCCGCGACGCTCTGTTATTATCTTTTGTACCCTTTTATTTTTGGCACAAGTTCGCCACATTAAACGTTTATTTCTTCCTGTTTATTTATTGTTTTTGGTCACCATCCGTAACAATATGGCGAATCCGAATCGAAAGTTCGTCTCGTACACTTATACAAAGTGATACTCCTGTCGTCTTCTGTCTGCCCGGAATTGACTACGCAAATGCACCAATCAATTTTTTTTAGTAAGGCTAGTTACACTTAATATTATTCTAGTAACTACATTTTCCTTACAGACTAGACGTATTTTGGTCAAGAGTGCAGTGACCCTAATTCGAGCTGTTCTTACTTTCAGCTTTGAGAATTCACGTGAGCACTCCCACCAAAGAGGTATTAGACACCTTTAAGACGTTTCAGCTGGAACTTCGAGGAGAAGTAGAAATGAAGGTAAGTAAGAGTTTCCGCAAGTAAATGCTAACATGTCCTTTCTACTGTGATACTTTCTATCACGTAATCCGACTGGCTCACACACGCGTTAACTGAACCCTAGTTTTTGGCGTTCATTTTAATCTTCATCGTGCTATGCGCTTTAGCGTAACTTTAGTGCATTTCACAACAAAATATGACGTTGTAGATACAATCATTCCTTGAGATTATCTTGATTTTATGTGACGAGATTTCTTATTTCCTTCTGGTCGAATCACTCCACGAGTGCAGTAGTACTTTTTATAGCTCAGCAAGAGAAACATTTTGTGGCCGTGTATGAAGAGAAATCATGTAACTATAAAAAAGTTTACGCGCTCGACGCGCCCGGATTCAAAACCCACAGACAGGTCCACGAATCCAATGTGTTTAGTTCCACTAGGTGTCGGGAAACCAAGCGGTTCATAGTGAGCTTAGTACCGAATGCTAATACAAAATACGTCTAGGAGTAACCGAATTTGCCCTAAACCTTTACCGTCTATATGCATTAACTAGCCACATTTGTATACAAAGGGGAGCTAGTTAGTTTGTGACTGAAAGCCGGGTCTGTGAACCTTCATTCTTAATTATGCACGTTTCGTGTACGTTCAAACTAAACAACCCTAGACTATAACACACATGAGTAGATTCCGGCAAATATAATTAGCCCTCGCCAAGGTTTTTTTGTGTTTTTTTTTTAACACCAGTACAGAAATAAATATTTGAAGCAATATTTTTGTTTCACCTGGCCAAATCGCAACAGACAAAATAAGTCTTTATATGGACAAGTATAAGTGAAAATGTTTGTTCCGACACTCAGGCTTCAACTCTAGTTGAGAACGCCTTTCTGTCTGTGTGGTGCAATTATAGCTTATGCCGGCAGATTTTATTAAGGCGCCATCAACAAGAAAGCCCTGGTGTGGCGTTGGCACCATAATGTATTGTTCTCTCAGACGTAACGCCTTTGTGTCCTGCTTTATCGCCCAGCTATTGCGTCCGACATCTTCAACCATTTACCCTCTTCAAAAGCTTAGTCTACGTTTATATACAACTGTTACAAGAATTCTAAGTCTGCCTAGGATCATTCTATGGAATAAGAGTACATAAAACATTGCCCATCATCCACACCAATGATTGCATTCAACAAAATAAAAAAATATATATATATGAATGCTAAACTTGAGATTTATTGATTGTTTTCGTTCATTACACTAATTTTTCAAGACACCCACGAACGGCATAGATAATAAGAAAAATAACGTATTTGGCGGATATCAGCTTCGATCGGTCGAGGTTGCTTCAAAAGCTTATAGTTATTGATCGACGCAAGTAAGACCCGCGTTGACTGTGTCCAAATTTTATCCCATTTTCTGAAAGGAAAAATCGAGAAATCACTAAAAATTGTTAATCGCGGACTTGTGGTTTGATTCGAATTCAAGGTTATCTGGATTTTCACGAGCCAGGCCCGGTTGGGAGGAATACACAAAGGGAACTCCTGCTTGACGACGCGTCTGCCCCTACATAGTTTTCTGGTCAACCACGATCGGCCGAATGCACGGCCCATTTTGCCGTGACTATTTTGTCCCGGTGAGCACCAACTGGTGATACCAATCAGCAATTAACAAGATACCTAACCCTACTGAAGCCCGCATTCTGGAATTATTTGTATGCCTAAACAAAAATAATGGCACGCAGTCACAGATGTAAGCACAATGTGGATGTCGTTAGGTTATGATATTTGGTTGGGTACGCAATGGGAGTCTCATTTAATTCCTCAAAAAACGAAGAAAGAAAGTAAAATGCGGTAGTTTGGAACAAATGTAGCATCAGTGTCGTAACCTACAAGGCACGACTTCTCTAAGTCATAGCATTGCGTAATCACTCGTTTCCTTTTATTATCTCTACACTGGTGTGAATACACAATGATGCACTTGACTCAATACTTATTATTTTCTGAGTGCCGGATTTCAGAGTGCAATTTTAAGCTGAAATTGAAGTTAATAGAGTTATCTGATTGTCTAATGTCAGTCATCTCTGTGCCGGAAGAAAAAAAAAAGTTGAACATCGAAAAAACTTGGTCTGCTGGGCAGGTAGGTACTGTACATTCATATTAAACATAGCGCAAAAAAGACGGGACAAAAAGACGAAGAAGCACACAGGACAAGCGCTAACTGGCAACTAAAATTTATTGAATGCTTCTAACTCTGCTATCGCCGTGCACGCGCCTAGTCTCGTCTCGAGAAAAACACGGCGTACCGCCAAATCAGCAGATACAGGCCGTCCACCGCCTGTTCAAAAATTCAGCAAAACAGCTACATCACCTCACCGCACAGCCCGAACGAGGAAAGGAAAAAGCGCCGCGTTAATATTTACAAGTTAGATAGTGTTAATGAATCTGTACTCTTTCGGCTGCATATACACCGATGCGACGCTTATGCAAACGTCTTTGTCACAATCATGTATTTTTGCCGCCTCCAGCAACTCTCGTTCCAACCTTCCTTTGTTGCGTCCCTCTACCTGCGCACTGTCCAGCGTGGGGGAACAACCACAAGTTTTACAATGCCCCGGCTAGTGGGAACCGTAATGTTGCCAAGAGAAGCCGCATGCTCTCGAAGTCAATCATTTAAGCAACGTCCCGTCTGGCCTATGTAAACACACCACACGTTAAAGGAATCTTGTAAACCACCTCAGTGGTACAAGGCACAAACTTTGTGACGTATTTCTTGTTGCAAACGGGTTTCTTCACTTTCGGCCCGCTCACCATAGTGCACAATTTTGACAATCTGCACGGGGCACTGGAAACAACGTCCACGTCGAACATAGATGCTATCGTTTTCAGATTGTGTGACACCTTATCATTGTAAGGTAGCACTACAAAATTCTTTGATTTCCTCTTGGATACAAAGGATGAACTTTTCAACTTTCTTCGAAGGGATTCCACAACACTCTGTATTAGAACCGAGGGGAAACCGGAGTGTTCCAAGCGAAGTGTCTGGAGGTCAAAACGGTCACTAATTACATGCGGACAGGACTTCAGCAGTGCCGACCGGAGCCACAGCGAGGCGATGCCCCTCTTTATCAATTTAGAGTGGGCTGAGTCAAAAGCCAAAAGGGCCTTTTTTGTGCGTGGCCTGTACATCCAGCACACATGGTCAAGGGAGTTAAAAGACAACCGGACATCTAAAAACTATAAAAATCCTTCCAACGGAACTTCGTAGGTAAAATGTAAAGGCTTAGAAGATATGCAAAAAACCTCCAGAGTAGTCTCGACTAAAGAGACCAGGCTTTGCTGTGCAGGAACACTAACAAAAACAATAAAATCGTCAACGTACCTACAAACCTTCACAACGGGGAAGTCAGCCAGCTCATGCGAAACTGAGCGGTCAAACCTTAGCAAGAAAAATCTCACATAGTACAGGCGCAACAATAGACACGATACAAATGCCACGCCTTTGCAGATACGCCTTGTCCTCAAAGCAGACGAGCGTTGAGTTTAGATAGCAGTCCAACATTTCCAGGAAGGCATCAGCCGTAACCCCGCACCCATATTGAAGTGCAAGAACGCATACTCAATCCCAAACACGTACTAAAAACGCAAGTCACGGGAAAGTCGCTGCACTCGATTCGTTTAGTCAATGAAAGGCAACGCATACAGAAAGATGGACGAATGCCGTGATGTTGCGCTTTGACGCTTGAGAGTTCTATTGGCTCGCAGCAGCGGCTGCGTTTTTATTTAATGTGTAACGAAGTGTTTCGATTGCTTGTCAACTCCACAGGCTGTTTGATTTGCTGTGGGATTGATCGCCGTCATTGTCGAAATTTCCAGACGATGTCGGCAGTGTGGGGAGCTAAACATTGCGAGAAAACAGAGCCAGATTGTAGGATGGGGGCTACTGTGAAAAGACAGCAAACAGGGTGTTGTACTCCTGATGAGATCACTTAATTATCACTCTTGTCGCATGCCTCCATACCGCCTCTCACCAGCCCGCGCGTGCCGAGCTTCACTGCTGTGCACCAGGGTGCTAGGTGCAGCGGCTGACATGGGTGAGCGCCTTTAGCGCGATACGCTCAGTAATTTCATTTCATTTCATTTCATTTATTATTCCTTGAGGGCCCGTTAGGGCATTATGCAAGGGGGGTCAATAACACACTAATAATCATAGTTTAAAATAAATTAACACTCACAGAGAGGAAGTCAGCAATACAGATGAATCAAAGAACAACAAAATGCAAGTAGTTATCAACATTACACAATATTATTAATATTTTAACGGTATGCACTGTGAACAGTAAAAAGGAAGAAAAAAATTAGCAGATAGAAATGTTTGCAAGTTCCAGGTAATTGATCAGTTCTTCGGCAAGTCTATCAGAGTTAGTCTCGGTTACAACACTATCGGGTAATTTATTCCAGTCCTTGATTGTCATGGGCAGATAGGAATTATAAAATGATACAGTTGAACTAAAAATCGGGCGAACTTTGCAGGAGTTATCATGGCGGAGAGATATGCTGTGGGGTGGAAGGAAGAGGGATGCCCTAATAGAGGCATTGTTATAGTATAATTTATGAAACAGGGCTAGTCGAGAAAGAGTGCGCCTAAACGAGAGTGTGTGAAGGTTAGCTTTGCTTCTTAGGCCTGTTACGCTAGTGAAACGAGAGTAGTCTGAGAAAATGAACCTTAAAGCTTGGTTTTGAATTGCCTCTAACTTCATAACTAGGTAATGCTGCCATGGGGACCATACAGAAGACGCATACTCTAGACGAGATCTAACAAATGTTATGTATGATAATTGTTTAATTTCAGGTGAAGCCAGTCTGAGGTTGCGCCGAAGATATCCTAATGATGAATTAGCCTTAGATAAAATAAAATTAATGTGAGTTGCCCAAGATAGATCACAGGTGAAATGAACGCCGAGGTATTTATAATATGTACAGGAGTCAATTATTGTGTCGTTGAGTTGATATGAAAAGAGTGATGGGGACTGTG